CAATCCACTCACCTCAGTCTCCCAAAGCACAGGATTACAGGCTGAGCCACTGAGCCCGGCCTGGAGTTAAGAGTTCTATGGAAGGTCAGGCTCGGTGGCTCAGCCTGTAACCCCAGAACATTGGGAGGCTGAGGTGAGTGGACTGCCTGAGCCTGCAGTTCAAGACTAGCCTGGGCAACTCGGTGAGACATCATCTCTACAATTAAAGAAAAAAAATTAGCCAGGCATGGTAACGTGCGCCTATAGTTCCAACTACTTGAAAGGCTGAGGTGGAAGAATTGCCGGAGCCCAGCAGGTTGACACTGGGGTGGCTGTGAGTGTGCCACTGCAGCCTGGACAACAGAGTGAGACTCCAATTCAAAGAAAAAAAGAAAAAAAAAAAGAGTTCTATGGAGGAAAAAACAGACCCTGGAAGTTACTCAAATATGCCAGTGGTCACGTAGCTGATTGGTGATAGGGTCAGTACTGTTGGGTTCGGAGGGAAGCAGCACTCACCTACCCCCATCTACCCTTCCACCCACCTACCCCCTCCCTCTCTGCCCATCTGCCCCAAGCCCACATCCGCTTACTCGCTTGAAACCTTCTGGAACCTGCCGCCAGCTGCGGAGAAGGGCCAGACAAGAACTTCCCAGCCCACGCCGGATGCGACGTTTCCAGCCCATGCAGGATGCGACGCTTTGTCTCCCAGCTTCGCTGCCGCCCCCAACACCCTCCTGAATACACCACCCTTAAAAACCCAAGCCGCCCCTCCTTGGGTGCGACTCCCCGGCCCATCTTCCTGGACCACGGGACCTCACCCGGGAGTTTCTCCCCCAATAAACGCTCGGTTTATACCAGCCCTTTGTCCTGTGCCTCTTTCGGTATCTCCAAACGTTACAAGTACCTGATCCCAGACCCACGACTCCAAGCCCACACTCTTCTCCCGTGTTGCTGGTGCCAGGCTTGTAGAAAGGGTTGCCCTAGGCTGGCCTGCCACACCTCACCTCGATGATGAAGTTGCCGATTTCATCTGGGTTGGCTGGCCGAGGACGGTACACAGGTGTGGGGATGAAGGTTGGTGCCACATCATTGCGGAGAACCACCTCAGGCCTGGCCTCCAGGCCACGGTGGAGCTGGGTGATGTCATAGTCCTTTATGAAAATGAAGGGGGACACGGGATTGAGAAGAAC